CTCTCTCTCTCAAATAAATAAATAAAATCTTTAAAAAGGAAAAAGAAAAATAACAAACGCGAGGAGATTGAGGCGATCAGAGGGAATTAACAAAGTCGAAGTGGACATTAATGAACTAGAAAACAAAAGTCATAAAACTAACAAAGGAATCCAATCATAAACTACCATATAATCTAATCAAGAAAGGGGAGGGGAGAACAAATATCAAATAGAGGAATAGCCACAGAGAAAATTAAGACTGATAAGAGACTACTACCTCAGCTATGCAAGTTGACTTACAGCCTCAATGACTAGGACAATTTTCTAAAGAAATATGACAAAATGTGCTCTAGAAGAAACAGAAAATCTATACAGATCAATACCACAGAATACAGAAAGTTGTCAAAGAGTAATAGTCCCCAAACACACTAGGTTTAAAAGGTTTCACAGGGGGAGTCTACCAAATCTTCATTTTTGTAAAGTTTTTTATTATTTTTTAAAAATTTTTAGGGGGGGAGGGGCAGAGGAAGAGGGAGAGGGAGAATCTTAAGCAGTTCCATGCCCAGCGCCAGAGCCTGACGTGGGGCTCGATCTCACGACCCTGAGACCGTGACCTGAGCCAAAATCAAGAATCCGACCCTCAACCAACTGAACCATCCAGGCACCCCACTACCAAATCTTTAAAGAACAGATTATTTGAAAGATAAATTGGTCTTAATACAGAAAAAAAAGTTTTCTGAAACGCATGGCATTGATAAGAAAATCTGACAGACTGCACATACACACAAGATCTACAAACAGTACGTGGCTATCAATATAATGAACCCAGGAGTTCAACATATGATTCTTGCTAGTTCTGTTAAGGGTCAAAAGTTTCCATAATAAAAAACCAAAATAAAAAATCATTTACTCAAGGAGAAAAAATTCTAACTAGATAACACTTTTTACTTATCAAAAGTTTGATGACAGTCTGGTAAAAGCATAGGAAAACACGCGCCCTCAGAAACTTCTAGTGAGAGGATAAACAGCCTCTAGGGAAAGCAATTTGACAATGTTTATGAAAGGTTCAAATGCGCACACCCTCTGAGGTAGTAATCCCATGTTCAGGAGTATGCCCTATATATACACTCATACACGCATGGAATGAGGCATGTAGAGGACAATTCATGCTAGCACTGGTTGCCATAGCAAAGACTAGAAACAACCCACCAGCCATAAAGAGGGCGCTCTCCTAATGAATTATAGAACACTCATACCAACAAACTCTCAGAAGCCCTAAAAAAGGAAAAGGAAGTACTGTAGATAAAGATACAGAAATCTCCCTAAGGTATAAATTTTAAAAAGCAAGGTACGGACAGAACTATAACAAGCTGCCATTTATACAAAAAATGGGGAGGCTAGTGGACAAAAGTAGGAAGATGACATTTCTGTCTATGCCCTTTGGCACTTTTTGAATTTGAAACCATGTAACTCCCATCTCAGACCAAAAAGAAAATCTCATTTAAAAAAAAAAACCCACCCTTTAGAATGCACTATTGCCATTATGAACTCATCCATTTAGAACACTTGCTATTCCTGCTACACTTGCTAACTGGGTGGAACGCCATACTTCAAGTAAAGATGGAGTTGAAGAAACTCTTATTATTTTAAAGGGCACAGAAAAATACGGCACACATACGAAAGGGCAACAGTACTCTAGATCAGAAGATCATCTCATTAGTGGTTTTCAATGCTGGTTATGCTTAAGAACAACCTGGGAATCTTCCAAAAATACCAGTGCCCCGCACCCCACACCCAGACTATTTACATAAATTTGGGGGATGGGACCCAGGCATGAAAAGCACAGCTCTAAATGCTCTACAGCAGTGGTCCTCCACAAAGGGTGATTTTGCTCCACCAGAGGACGTGGGGCTGTCTGGAGACATTGGGTTGTCACAACTGGTGCTGTCTAGTACGTGCAGGCATCTAGTGGGTAGGGGCCAGCGAAGCTGCTTTATTTAGTAAACCTCCAACAATGCCCAGGACACACCCCCAACCATGACCTGTCCCAAAATGTCAAGAGTGTTGAGAATGAGAAACCTTCTTTAAAATCATTGCTTCTGCCATAACAACCAGTTTTCATCTTTGTTCTTAAACAAGGAAGATAATCTCATTTTACTAGTGTGGATAGATTAGTATAATAAAGCTATTTCAGTGGCCATAGAAACTACAATTTATTTGTTGATGTGCTTATAATGAATACTGAAACACTGAATTCCATGTACATCCTTTCTTTGGTCCTTGTCCAGTTACTCTGTCAAAAATTTATGTCCTGTTTGTAAAACAGTGAGGGAGAAAATCCTAAAGGTCACAAAGTGGCAGCCTGGAGGTAAATATAGTCCACATACCTACTTTGTTTGAGCCTCAGGTCTTTTAAAATATACTGAATTGGAGCCAATCACCTGCCCCTTCTGGAGCCAGCACATACCTTCTGGAGTCGGCCACGGTCCACACCTGGCTGGCTTCATGCAGTCATCTGCTGCTCCCCAGCAGGTCCTTTAAGCATATGAGGTGGCCTTCATCTGCCGTTTTCAACAATCATGAAGGGGCATGAAGCCTCTTTACTCTTCTTCTTCCTCCTTACCTTAAAAATATCCCCACATCCATTCTAAATTCCCAAACTCCTACATTACTTGCCACAAAAGAATTATCAAGAGCTGGAAGAGGGCACATTCTGCGTGGAGCACTGGGTGTTATGCACAAACAATGAATCATGGAACACTACATCAAAAACTAATGATGTAATGTATGGTGATTAACATAACAATAAAAAATTAAAAAAAAAGAGCTAGAAGAACTAAAAGAAAGGGAGAAGTCAAGATGGCCTTTGTGTGACAACACTCTTCTAGTTGTCATTAAACATAGGCTGCCCGCCACCTGTCTCTGGATATTACAAACTAGCCTTGTAGTTTCTAGCAAATTCCACTACAATTATATATAGCTCTTCTGCGAGCGTCCTTATAAGGAAAAGACTTCAATTATTAGGCTTCTTCCATTATCCTAGATTAGTGTATCCCTCTACCTCTCCCAAAATAGGTCAGAAGCCTTTTATGGGAAATACCTATCAGAAGATTTGGTAATTTTCTTTTCAGAAGCTCATCCCTTTTCCTTTGAAACTACAATCACACAGTTCAGGGGTTGTGTTTGAGAGATTGCCTAATACAATCCACATATTTTATTAATGAGGAAAATGAACCCCAGTGAGGTTCACTCAGCCAAGGCCACACTCTTGAGTTAGTGGCAGAGCAAAAATTAGAACACTTATTTCCAGATACCGGTCCCAGGGGTTTTCCACGATAACACTATCCCCCACTGTGGTTTTCCTACTCAAGTAACATTCTTGCCAAGACACCTATTAACATGGGTAGATACTAGCTTGCTGTAGAACTAAATCAACTGAAACTTCGCCAAGCTATCAGAGCTATCATGTCAAGTTTGAGGGTGGAAGAAACTGGGAATTTCTGGATTCCTTTTGCTCCTTTTACTGTGAATTAACTTAACTCAGTTTACCCCAGTGAAGCTGATACCTTCAGAATCTTCTCTAAACCATAAATTAGAGATGGAAAACATGCTATTTATAGCAACAGTGACCTTTTGTTTCTAAACTCTTAAGTCAGGAGCTGCTTCAAACCTCTAAAATTTCAAAAGTGGCCAGAGATTTGTTAACTACTGAAAAGCTTTCAGGAGTGAAGTTTAAGATGCCAAGATCAACATCTCATTGAACTTTGACTCTCCTCATCATTCTCTGGCAAAGTGGGTGCTTAAAATTTAATATGGCCTCGACTTTAACCTAGTCCTCTCTTCCTATCCCAACTTTTTCAGCATAGGCAACATCACATTTTGCGTATCTGATCTTCCCTGGATGTTCTACCTCCTCTGCACCTTTAGTTTTTATTCCCACCTGATACCGTCCCTTTACATTTACATAAAATTCATTACATGAAGAGATGCCCCATTATGTTCCCCTGAGAGCTCAGAACATCTTTGCTGCTCCATTTTACTCCCCTTCAAGGATGCTGAACTCCATTCGGATACCTGGGTGCGCATTTTTGTTTACTCTCCGGTGGTTCACAACCACCTCCCAAGCCTTCAGCAATTGCAAGTATTCGCTCCGTGGTTGAAAAGGCACCACTCTGGGGAAACACGATCCGGTGAGCATAAGGTGGTGGAATCTATTCCCATCTCAGCTAGGCCTCCCGGGCAAGGTGAGGGCCGGCCGGGTCTTCCGCGCTCCCACCTCAATCCGCGTCAGCTGCCCACCAGCCCACTCGACCCGGGAGAAGGTGGTGGGACACAAAAGGAGAGGCGCGACGAAAGGTGTCGGCACCGAGACCGGGGGTGTATCAGACCCTGCTCTGACGCTAGGAGCCCACGCGTCCTCTCCTCCCCAGCATTTAAGGCGTTCGCAGTCTAGGCCTCTAACTGCTTTAACATTACACGAAAAGGACAACAGTTCGAGTCCTGCCACTCCAGGCACACGAGAGCACCTTAGGGCAAAAAAGGAACAAAATGCTATTGCATAATTTATTCGACCTCAAGGTGTTTCTAAACAGCCCTTACCCAACAACAACAACAACAACAACAACAACAACAACAAAAGAATCTACAAGTAAAAGCATTAAAATCCACCCACATTCCGCTACTAAGTTTTAAGGACGGGTGAGGTCTGTGTCAAGTAGATTTGAAGCTACTGAAGCAGGTTTGGGGAGTCCCGCCTGGAGGAGGGTCCTCGGACGCGGTTTCTGTGTTTCCAAGTAAAGCCCTGGCCGGTGTGCGGGTGCCAGGCCCTGCCCCCTCCGCGCCCCGAAATTCGACTCCCCGGGAGAGCCCCCGGGCATCCCGGAGACCCGCCCGCGGTTCCCACGGACTTTGCCCCGAGCTGCAGAGACCCGCGGCGGCGGCGGGCCCGGAAGGCAGCGGCCCCGCGTCCCCGGGGCTGTAGGGACCGTAGCGACCGTGGGGGCCCGCGGCCCCGCACTCACCGAAGTCTAGGAACTGCTTGATGGAGAGTGGCGATGGCGAGAAACGCGAGTAACGTTCGATCTGCTTAGGCACCGGCTGCTTCAGCAGCCACCGGAAAAGCCGCATCCTCGCCGAGGCCGTGCACACACCAGCCGAGACGCTCAGGCAGCCGCAGGAGCCGATGTAGCCGAGCCGCGCGGATCCGGCACGTCAGCCGAGCTCGCACCCTTGCCTCCGCCTCGGCCTTGGCGCCGCGGGTGCAGCCGCCGCAGCAGCAGCAGCAGCTCCCGGGCCGCGGCCGGCCGCCCGCGGCTTCCCCAGGGCCCGCCCACGGGGGCGGAGCCGGCCGCCGCACGTACGCGGCGCACGGAGGGCGCCGGGGGCACGGGGGGCGCGCGGCCGCACGCGCCGGCCGCTGATTCGCTGTCGCCGCCCTCGCTTTCTTTTGCTTGAGTTCGCTCAGATGCCGCGCCTCCCTCCGTTGCTCCTGGGTCTGAGCCCCGCCCGGCAAGTGCAGCAGCCCCGCGTCCCGCCCCCGGTTAAGTCCTTCGCGAGCCAGAGGTAGCGAAGGTGCCGTGGGACTGCAAGGAGGCCCGGCGTCCACGCCCGGAAGCCAGCCCTACGCCTTGTTCAAGGCCGCTCTCAGCCGCAGGCCCCTCTTCCGGGAGGCCTTCCCTGGACCGGCGGGCTACGGCCCTTCAGGATTCTCATTACGTCTTGATACTTTGCTTTTCATGTCCCTTTTACCACTTAACAATAGTGGCTGTTTCATGCCTGCCACCACACCACCACCTTAGGCAGAATTAAATGTGGCTATGTTTCACGCCCGCCCCGCACCCGTTGGACAGGCTTAATTGTCACGTCACTAAATCTCTGTTAGATGGCCCACCGCACCGCCTCCGCCCACACCCCCATCTCCCCACCCTTAAACTGTCTTTTGAACACCTTTGGACAGGAATGTTAGGTCACTCCCTCTGTTTCGTGGCCTTCCGCCTCTCGTTCCCACCAACCTTCCCCTACCATCTTCCCACCTGAGGCCATCACATTTGGACAAGATTAAGTCATTGACTGTTTCGTGCCACCACAACCACCGTTGGACTGTATCAATTCTAACATCACTGACACTTGGTTTCGTGCCTCCCACCCCCATACTCTCTCTCATACCAACTGGCTGTTTCATACCACCACTACCACTGGAAGGGCTCAAATTAAAGGTCATTGGCATTATCTTTCATACCGCCTCACTCACCAGCACCACAACCACCACCACCATAGGACAGTTCCCTCTTTCAGGCTTCACCAACCTCCAGCACCACTACATTTGGATAGGAGTCTATGCTTACACTAGGTGTTGGGTATTTTTTCTCTGCATACCAGTGAACTTGAACTCGGGGCTCAGTATATGAAATCATGATTTCCTAATGGTGTATGAAGTACTGCTGACTTTAACCATTTTCACCAAACCTTATTTCTGGGAATGTATAAACATCAGTTAAAAGGAAAAGTAGAATGTTCTCTAAGGAAAGGTAAAAATGTAACTGGAGACCACTCTTTTGATCTGATTAGGCTGGTTTTCTCGTTGAATAAAATTATTGGTGTGTAGCTATTTAACTTTTGTGACTTCATTGGGTATTTATGCACCCAATTCTTTGCTTACCAGTTGCGTCTTTATTCTGAACTTAAAGAAAAGTAATACATACCCTCAAAGGCATCCAGTGGTCTGCCCATACTTCTAGATTTTCAAATACATCTTGATCATCTTGGTGGTGGTATGGTACATAGACTACCATGTCCTCTCCATTCAAACCAAAACCTAGAAGAGATGTACTGACAACCTCTTTAGCTGGGTACTTTGCCAGCCGAGCTAAGCAATCCCGTTAGTGTGCATGGGCAGACAAAAAGAAGACCCGTAGCCTGTGATTCTTCCAGTGACTTTTGCAGGTGCTACCCGGATGTCAGAGTGTACTTGGTGATGGCTGCGATAGTCAGTAAAGAGGAAGCTTCTCCCAACCTAAGCAGCAGAAGATCTTTCTGAGTTGGCACATCACTTGTGTCACTCTTTCCTTTTCCAGTGAACACAATCAGTGTATTCTGTTGATTTGATTACTTCAACCGTCATGTGACTAGTTTTACTTATGTTTCTCCAAAAGCTGGCGAAGTCCTAGAAGTTGGAGTGGGTGTGAGAGTCTGGTGTAATATATGAGAGTCTGGTGTAATGTAAATTGCACTAGTCCAGGGCTCAAATGACTGAGTTCTAAGCTTGGTTCTATCATTAACTGGCTGTGTGGCCTTAGACAAGTCACTTAGCCTTTCTCTGTCCCAGTTACCTCTTATGTCGGATGGAGATACCTGATTTCTCTCCCTGGCATCTGTGACAATCAAATGAAATAAAATAAAATAATATAAAAATAAAACATTGTTCTACCTCTTTCATACAGCAATACGTTTTTTAAGCTAATAGTCTCATGTTAACTGGCAAAATTCAGAAGTTAAACCAGTGAGTTGATTTCAGTGCTGGTTATAGTTAGAAGGATCTTGAAAGAAATAAGTAGATCTTGATGAGCTTTTTTCAATTCCTTGTACACACCAAGGTTTGCCTGGGCCCTCTCCCAGTGACTCTCAAAGCAACATCCCTGGACCACCGGCAGGAACATCACCTGGGAACTTGTTAGAAATACAAACTCTTGGACCCCACCCCAAGCCTACTGAATGATAAACCCTGGGGGTGGGGCCTGGCAATCTGTGTTTTAACAAGCTTTGAGGGTTTTAAAGACATGGCCAAAAATTCTTTGATATTCCTCCCCCCAAGAGATGGAGTTTAATTCTTCTCCCTTTGAGTGTGGGCTTGATTTAGTACTCACGTCCAACAAATAGAGGATGGCCAGAAGTGATAAGATCTCACTTCAAAGATTAGGTTATAAAACGACTTCACTCTTACAAATACCTGACCGGTACTCCTCAAAACTATCAAGGTCATTAAAAACAAGGAACATCTGAGAAACTGTGACAATCAAGAGGAGCCTAAGGAGGCATGACAACTAAATATAATGTGCTATCCTGGATGGGATTCTGGAACAGATAAAAGGACACTAAATAAAAACTACAGAAATCTTTTTTTTTCTTTTTTAAGATTCTTTTATTTACTTGACACAGAGAGCGAGAGTGAGAGAGAGCACAAGCAGGGGGAGTGGCAGAGGGAGAAGCAGGCTTCCAGCTGAGCAAGGAGCCCGACACGGGGTTCGATCCCAGGACCTGGGATCATGATCTGAGCTAAAGGCAGACGCTTAACTGACTGAGCCACCCAGGTGCCCCACAACTACAGAATTCTTAATAAAAGATAAACTTTGGACCAAATGTGTTTAATAATAATATATCAACATTTGTTCACAAATTTAATGAATGTAACATATAACGCAAGCTATTAATAGTAGGGGAAATGGAGCATAGGACATATGAGAACATTGTGTACTATCTTCTCAATTTTGCTGTAAATCTGAAACTGTTTGAAAAAAATAAAGCCAATTATACAATACACTATTAACTATGGTCATCATGTTGTACGTTATATCCCCAGAACTTATTTTAACTTATAACTAGGATTTTTGAAAGTTAAGAGTTGTTAAAAGTTCTTATCGAAAGGGGAAAAAACTGTAACTATGTGAGTTGATGGGTGTGAACTAAATATATTATGGTAATCGTCTGGCCATATATACATATACCAAATCATTATGTTGTACACCTTAAACTTATATAATGTTATATGTCAATTATATCTCAATAAAACAGGGGAGAAAGCAGTATCTTTTGGTTACAAAATGTAAAATAAGGCATATTCAAAGAAAAAATGTAAGATTTTTTTAAAAGATTTTATTTATTTATTTGACACAGAGAGAGAGACAGCGAGAAAGGGAACACAAGCCCCAGAGGGAGAGGGAAAAGCAGGCCTCCCGCCAAGCAGGGAGCCCGATGCGGGGCTCGATCCCAGGACCCTGGGATCATGACCTGAAATGAAGGAAGACACTTAACGGCTGAGCCACCCAGGTGCCCCAAAATATAAGATATTAATAAAAATATTTTATAACCATAGAATAACTACTGAACATTTAAAGAATATGTATTACCAAAAAAATAATAACGTGAAAATTAAAAAAATATAAAAAAATGGACTTCTCTCTTGGGGATTTTCTCTCTCTCCCTTGCTCTCCGTCTTTCTCTCTCTCAGAAGCCACCTGCCACACTGTGAGGCAGCCCTGTGGACAAGCCCATGGGAGTGAGCCTGAAAGCAGATTTTTCCCTGGCACCTGGACTGGAACCTTGCGAGAGGTTCTGAGCCACAACCACTCAGCTAAGTGGCTCTTAGACTTCTGACCCACAGAAACTCTCATGGCTTGGTGTAATAAATGTTTGTTGTTTCCAGCTATTCAGTTTTTAAATACTTTGTCCGACAGTAATAGTCAACTCATCTGCATGCCCCGCAGGTGATTCTGACTCATGCTCAAGAGCGAGAACTGCTGTCCTACCCTAGGCACTCTCACCCAGCTCCCTGTTCCTTCTGGCTAATGCCTCAGACCTCAGCAGCCGCATCAACTTAGAAAACAAGGGAGGCCTTCCCTGACTAGGAAGGCAAATTGTTCCCCTTGCTACACTGTTCCTTGATTCTCTGTGCTTCTCATTGTAACACTCAAAACTGTTCGAATTTCAGAAATGTCTGTCTTCCACCCTAGACACAACACCTGTGATGGCTGAGCCCAAGTCTAGCTTCTCTCGCTGCTTTGCTACCATGTCCAGCATCAGGACCACTCACTAGGCCCACAATAAATATTTTTTAAATAAATGAAAACCAACAACAGGAACAGTAAAAACCACCCCAAATCACATTCCTTCCTGTCAGCTCTCAATGGGAAACAAAGGCAAGGACAGTATTCTGAGTAATTCAGGCAATAATGGGCATTTTATCAAATCATAATTTGATAAAGCCAAAAGCCGAAATGAAGTGCAATAGATGAGGGGAAAGAATAACCCCTGATTATCTCATCATCAATCACTAGTGGGTGGATCTTGTTATAAAACGCCTCCACCGGCATTTGACTTGGCTATGAACTCCTGGTGTCCCTGTGTCTCCCTCCTTCTCCCTTTACTCTCAAATGACATATTTTAAAAGCACCTACCATGTGCTCTGTGAAAGGACCTATGTTTGTCTATTCGCGTAAGTCTGATGAAGGAATCATATCCTCATTTTACAGGTGAGCGAACTAAGACATAGAAAGGTTAAAATAATTTAAGCTTACACAGCTTGTATATGACAGTCCAAATTTG